TCCCTAGTTCGTCAGGCGAAGTCAAGCAAGTCCGCCTGTACCATGAGTCGAGGGTAGATAATCCCCTCGCACATTGCTGCCTTAGTGCTCCTGCCTTCTGTAGACTTGTAAGGAAGTAGCAGCTCGAAGAGCAGGTGATCGTAGCCTATGTTAAGCTGATTTCTGACAAGCCAAAGGAAGAAGAGAAGATCCATCCTACAGTCTGCTGGAAGAGTATACCGATTTGTCTGAAGCACCTTCAGGTGTAGTGCCACGACTGATCAACCACTGCATCGAGATAGAACCTGGCAGTAGGATGCCCGAAGGGGCAGTCTACAGGATGTCTCCCAAAGTACTAGAGGAGCTTCGTAAGCAGCTATATGAATGGATGGATAAGGCCTAGTTCATCACCTTTCACCGCATCTGTTCTATTCGTCATGAAGAAAGAGGGAGAGTTGTGTATGTGTAGACTACAGGGGACTGAATGCCATCACGATTAAGAATGCAGAGCCATTGCCCGTAGATGACTTGTTAGATCGAGTGCAGGCCTCCAAGTACTTCTCGAAGATAGACTTAAAGTCAGGGTACCATTATATAGAGGTTCATCGTGACGACCAGTACAAGACATCATTCAAAACAAGATATGGGCATTACGAGTTCATAGTGATGCCGTTTGGACTAACTAACGCATCGGCCACCTTTCGACGCTGCATGAACGACTTGTTTAGGTCGTGGTTAGACAGGTTCGTCGTAGTATATTTAGACGACATCTTAGTGTTCAGCAAGACCCTCGAGGAGCATGAGGGCCATCTAAGGCAGATTCTAGAAAAGCTAAGAGAGTAAAAAGGTCAACGCGAAGAAGTGCGAATGGGCCAAGACCGAGGTCCTTTACTTGGGCCAGGTATTAGACGGAGACAACATTCGATCAGAGGACAGCAAGATTGCATCAATTAGAGACTGGCCAACTCCTCGAACCCTGACCGAGTTACAATCATTCGTAGGATTGGCGAACTACTATTGGAAGTTCGTGAGGAACTTCTCTACGATCGCTGCTCCCGTTGGTAGACTACTGAAGAAAGAAGCAATTTGCAAATGGGACGAGAATTGCACGTCGGCCTTCAAGAAAGTGAAGAAGGCCTTAATAGTGTACCCTGTCGTCAAAGTTGCTGATCCGTCGCTGCCATTTGTCGTCACTATAGATGTGAGTCGGTATGGCATAGGCGCCATTTTGCAGCAAGATGATGGCAATGGTTACAGACCCGTAGAGTTCATGTTAGCCAGGCTGCCCTCGAAGAAAGTTGCGGCATCGACATACGAGAGAGAACTCTACGCTCTCAGGTAGGCCGTAGACCACTGGAAGCACTACCTGCTTTGGAGGTACTTCAAGGTATATTCAGATTATAAGACTCTTAGATGGTTTAAGACCCAAGCCAAGATGACGCCCAAGTTGACTAGATGGGCTGCTGAGACAGACCAGTTTGACTTCGAGTTGAAGCCTGTTAAAGGGAAGTATAACATGGTAGTCGATGCCTCGAGTAGTAGAGCTGATTATTTCGGCGCGATAATGCACTATCTAGACATAGGGGCCGATCTGCAGCAGAAGATTAGAGATGCATATGCAGAAGACCCGATGTATAAGGAGTAAGGGAAGCCCCAGATAGTGAGCCGCACTATCGAACCAGGAACGGGCTATTGTTTGAGAAGACCAATGTCGCTGACAGACTAAGCGCCCCCAATAGTGAAGAGATCCGTAGTTTGATCTTTTAGGGGAATGCCATGATACGGAGGGGCACTTCGGATGGCAAAAGACTTTAGCTAAATTGATGATGTCCTACATGTGGCCTGGCATGAGATTACCGCCCGACAGCTGAGAGTTTTCATTGCAGCATGAGCAAGAAGTCGCTAAGCTGATTGAGAACCTAAGGAAGGCCCAGCATCGTATGATTGAGCAAGCTAATAAGCACCGCCAACCTTCACAGTTTCAGGTAGGCGACTTAGTCTGGGTCGAGTCTAAAGAGTTCGCACCCGAGGAGAACATCTCGCAAAAGCTCTTACCTGCGTACACAGGACCATGGCCTGTCCTAGAAGTCAAAGGAGGAGAGGACGGACCATCATACACTATAGAGATACCAGTGCATCTCCACACGTACCCAGTCTTCCATGCATCAAAGCAACTGCCGTGCACCACCGGTGACAGATTTCCTTCATGAAGATCAATGATTCCGCCAGATATGGATGGTGCCTATGATATAGATCGCATGGTGGAAGAGGACGTGTTCAGAAGCGGAGGGCGAGGTCGTGCCCAGAAGCAATACAAAGCCAGGTTCACATATCAGGAACCAGAGGACAACATATGGGTCACCAGAACAGAGCTTTTAGAAACCGCTCCCGACATAGTCCACGCGTATGAGAGAGCAAGGAAGAGGTAAAGGCCCTATCTTGAGTTGAGTGTTCTCGGAGGACCTTGAACTTAGGACGGAGGGTGAGGTCGTCCCCAGAAGCAGTACAAAGTCGGGTTAGCATGTCAGGAACCAGAGGACAATAGATGGTTCACCAGAACAGAGCTTTTAGAAACCGCTCCCGACATAGTCCACGCTTACAAGAGAGCAAGAAAGAGGTAAAGGTCCTATCTCGAGTTAGAGTGTTCTCGGAGGACCTCGAATTTAGGACGGCAGGAGTGATACGGTTTCACCCAGTTGACATGACATTTGCAGACACCGAGATTCGATCCCTAGACCTATGCGTGAACCCTGTACATTGGCCCTGTGTGCTGAGTGAGATTCGATCCCTCGACCTATGCCTGTGCCCTGTACATCTACCTGTGTCATAGGTTAGGCCGTAGGTCTGGAAGTTGGACTTGATCCCTAGGTCTGTATGTTAGTAGTTGAGTCTGTTACCGGTTGTAGGTCTTTTCTGGAAGTGTCTACTCGAGTCTATAGAGGGCCTAGAGTCGGTCTGTAGGCTCTAGAAGGCTGTAGGTCCCCGTAGGTTTGTCCAGTCAGCAAGTATCAGGGAAGGGCTGCACGTGGGGAAAGGTTCTGGTCACGCGGTATGCAGAAGGGTTTGGAACACACGTTCTGGGGTCCAGCAGCCCACACAGTTTGGAAACTTCCAGACCCGTGGTTCACGTGTTCAGAGGCCCAGGCCCACACGTTTTGAGGCAGGGCCTGGCCACCTCCGAAGAAGTATAAATAAAGAGGCAGCGTCCAGGCATTCATTCATTCGCCTGTGAGCCATGCGGAAGTGCTGCCTTGGTGACTTGCGCGTGGAGGTCTGCAGGTGCCCGGAGCTGAAGTGGGCAGTGAGGAAGACGATGGCCATAGCTGGCCAGGAGGAAGACGACAGCGGCCATAGCTCCCAGCTGTTGTCACAGACAGCGTACAGAGTGTGTGTGTCTGTGTAGCGTGGACATTCAGGGTTGATCCTCGTACATGCGCGCATGAGGGAGAGCAAGGCTGGTGGTGGAGACACTGTTCGGCGGCCATATCCGCAAGTTGTACAGTTGACTTGAACAAAGTTTTAAGTGCAGGTTTGTTGTTGATTCTGAGTTGAACGAGTTTGTTTTGCCATCAGTGTGCGTGTATGCATGTTGCAAGCAAGTTTGGAGTGCAGTCTGAATTCGAAACTGACCAGCCCTAGGTAATTCGGGACTGGTATCTTGTACCAACTGAGCTAGCCCGGTTGGTCTCTCAGACTGGTTTCAGCGGGTTGGCAGATGGTCTGTGAGTGTATGAGAGGGTCACTGATTTGTTGGCTGGTCCGTCAGCAGGCTTGTCACCTTGTGGGTTTGTCACCTTCTGGGTTTTCCTCGGTTTTAACCAGTCTTTTTTGAGAAGCGGTTAACAGAGCCCCAAATTTTCAGTGTTTTTTGAACTTTTTTCAGGTTCATTATAACAAACCTCCCACACCTTTAAAGCCAGACTTGTCACCAGTCCATATAGTGGATACCAAATGAACCAACAGCAAAAAAAAAGAAAAAGTGAAAAAATGGATCAAAAGGGCCTTAAACCAAGGCAACAGCGTGTTTTCATGCAAAATTCGCTCTTTTCAGTTTTCAGGATTTTCAGGGCTGGCCAAAACAATTATCTCCAAGACTCAAACAAACACCGAACTCAGCACACACAGACCTTGACCAAAAATAAAACAGGGCAAAAGAAAAAAGAACCTGGAAAACATTTTCCCCAAATGCACTTTTCAGCTAGGCTGGTCCCCGGGCCGCCCGGCAGCCTGGTTGTCGCCTGGGGGAGGGGCGGGCGGGCCGCCTGGCCGGTTGTCGCGCCTGGTTGGCCACCGGGCGCCCCCAGCGCATCACTGTAGGTAAGGTTTTTTTTTTGTTGTTTTTTGGCGCTGGGGCCCTTTTTGCCCCCATCCTAGACTGTGTAGACACCGAAAAAAAAAAAGGGGCCGGTAGGCTCGATTTCACTGATTTGAACTCGGGCCCGATCGTGATCGTCGATCTCAGAGATCGACGGCCCAGATGGCTGCGATTTCAAATTGGTAAATGGTTCTTTCTCACTGCAGGGCACCATTGGGAGCCTGCTGCTCCGAGGCCCTCACCTGTGCATCTGTATGCCAAGTATGGTACTGTCTTCAGCAAAATAGAATGCCTGGTCATTATAGCCGTATTTGTTGCAATGCTCAGTCCGGATACAGCTATAATGACCGGGCGTTAGGGTGATGAGGGTAGTAAACTGTGATGGTAAATCTTCCGTCCTGCATAGATTGTCGCATGTTTCATGCACAGCATGTGTGGAGGCTGGTGGTCAAGGAATTCTGCATAAAATAATTGCCTCATCACTGTTTCTGAGTTGAATGGGGGGAAAAACCTTCCCACCTGTTTCATCTTGTGAATGCAGACATGTCAGAGTTGTCCACCAGCTCACGATAGTAATTTTGTGGTGTTTTGTGACTTGAAGCCTTTCTCTGAATGTGTGGAAGGTTGGAGCTAACAGAGAAATGTTGACACTCTGCTATGCTTTGTGTTGCTGATTTTGCATGTTTTGGGGGTCAACGGCGCACAGAAGGGTGATGGAGAGGAGAGGGCTGCAAGTGCAATCACTGAGCAGAGGAACGGGCAATCAACGATTGCACATGAGGAGAGGGTTGATGTAGATCGTCCTCTGCAAGTGCTTAAGAGAGATGAAGAAGAGCTGTTTGTTCCATCCAAGGAGAAAAACCGCACCAAGGGAAGGCACAAGGTGTGGCCAGCAACTCGAATGACCGGTTCTTGTTTTGAAGGTTTGTTAAATTGTTTGTCAATCTGTTTTTCGTTCAAATGGGCTAAGCCTCATGCATTATTTTTGCCACCAGGATTTGAATCGATGGTAAGTCATCAACAGTTATGTATGTGTGACATTGAGGCACAACTAGTCTGGGAGACCCCAGTGCCTATCTCCCTGTTGCTTCATGGTTATTTGTAGTATATCTTCCGTATGGTGTGGCTATGCCGGAGGGCAGCAAAATTCCCAACCCAGTGAACCCAGGTTAAATCGGAATGCATTGGCTCAGTTACAAGGCACACAGGGATGTGGTCAGCTGCAGCTTAACCACCATCAACGTGTGCAGCCTTGTACATGCGAGAATTAGTAAAAGAGGAGCTGTTTCCCAGAAGAAATCCCGACTAAACACGGTTCAAAATGCTTCTATTATGATTCATGTTGCTTGCTAATAAGGTGGATTCTTTACTCATCTCGGTGGAATAGGGGCTGTTGTGGTGGAAACTGAAAACACACACACACACACACACACACACACACACACACACACACACACACGTCTCAGAGGGCTGTAACTTCTTTTTAGACCATTGGGATGTGAGTTTGGTGCTTTTTGTTAGTGGACCCTTTTGTATTTATGATGTTTTATGGTTTTGTGGGCCGACGCGGAGGGTTCTCCAAGTTGTTTCGGACCTACGGCAGATGTAGCCGGTGCTTTCTTGTTAGTGGAGTCCTCTGTCTCAGGTAAGTTGCTTCTTGTATATATATGCTATAAGGGGTGGACCTGCTACATGCGCTCCCACCAAAGTCGCTATCCTACGCATGTGACGCGTCTCTCTCAGTGGTTCCGACGCATGCTGCGATGGTCCTTGTATCATCCAATTTCTTCTTCGCCCCCAGGATGCTGTCATCCTGCCACTGCTTGCTCAGCTGCTGCTACCGCAGTTTCCACAGCTGCAGTTCGCACTGCTGCGGTGTCCACTGTTGCGGTGTTCACTGCTGCGGTTTCCACTGGTCCAGTTTCCACTGGTCCAGTTTCCACTGGTCCAGTGCCCACTGTTGCGTTTTCCACTGGTGCAGTGTCCACTGCTGCAGTTTCCATTGCTCCAGTTTCCACTGCTCCAGTTTCCACTGCTGCAGTTTTCAGTACAGCAGTTTCCCTAACTGTAATTCCCCCTACTTTAGTTTTGACTGCTACAGCTTCCTGTCCTGTAGCTCCAATGCAAAGAACATCACAATCTATCCGACGCTCATGTCCTTTGCTCCGAAATCGTGCCCAATGCACCCCCCTTTCATCTTTGTCTGTGCTTGGCCGTAGACGACTGCATTCCTCCTCACCACCCCCATCTCCTCCACCGTCTCGCTTGCGAACAGACTCTCCAGTTTCCATTGTTCCCATTGTTCCACCTGCGTTGCTATGTACAAGTTCAGCTTCTGTTTGCAACACCACTACTCTTGTTGTATATCACCGACGACATCCGCGGCATCGTCACTTGTCCGGGGATCAGCAACCTGTTTCTTTGTCTGCCCCGATTCTCTCTGTGCCTCCTCCACAGGTTGTCGCGGTTCCTTTGTTTCAAACGGCAATATCTGCTCCTATGCCTCCTGCAGACAGTCCAGCTGCTTGCAGGCAGCCACCAGTCCGTACCCAGGATGCAGCCGCTGCCCAGAGTCCACTCCTGACTCCAGGTACAGTCCCTACTCAGGATGCAGCCCTAAACATTGAGGGATTGGAACATGATCTGCCCGGATTGCAGTTTACCCCACAAGGCGTAGACCACAAGGGGGATCTGCAAATGGCTGACCAGCATTGTTCGGATGAACCACAATTTTGTGCTCCGCCACGTGCAGACCACATGGGTGATCTGCAAATGACTGACCAGCAAACAACCCAACACAGTTTGGGCTTGCAACACGATCTGGGTGATCTGCAAATTGTTGGCCAGCATCCAACAAACCAGCCTGAGAACCTCACCAATCTCTGTGGTCTGACAGCAACTAATATCTGTCTTCACATTCTCTACCGCCCGTTTTATACACTATCAGACTTCCTTGCAATCGCCCTTCAGCTTGATGCTGATCTTCCCCAACGACAGCCAGAGAATTGTAATTATACCAGCGAAGGAGGCTTTACCATTGCTGTCCTACAAGTAGCAATGAGGGACCGTCAACTTGAACTACGCAATGCTCCAGCAGGTGAGTGGTTTAATCCTCCATCCCACATCTCTGCCTGCATTGTGCACGGCCCTGGCCATTACGTGGCCATTGTACATGCCTCTGACCACTGGGAGCTGTTGGACAACGGCACCCTGGTCCATGCCATGATTCATGTCACTGATTTCTTACAAAATGATGCTGTTTTCTTGCCACAACAAACCGTCCGCAATCTCTTTTATGCCGAAGATCATTCCTCTGGCCCCGTGCTGCAGCAAGACAATGTACCAACACTCTGTGACCTTCTCCTTTGCACAGCCACAAACACTGTTACACTTGGCTGTAGCCGCCATGTGTGCAGAGGACTGTCCCACCGTTCCTGACTGCAGGCACCCTCTGCATCCGGACACTATATGTCCATTTTGTGGCCATGGGCGCTATACTGAATGAATGCTCTTTTGTGGTGACCGTTCTTCTTTCATTTTGGCCTGCAATCGAYATGCCATTTGYCSGGGGYGTATGGYGGGCATGCTCAATGCCACCCGTCGTGGCAATTGTTGCACTGAGAATGCTCAGCTAGGTCTTCCATGTGTTCATCCACGTCATCCTTACAATGTATGTCCTCTCTGTCGTCAAGGACAGACTTTCTTGAGCCTTTTCTTATCCTCTTTTGCTTTCATCTTCACTCCACACTCCATACTTTCCCTTGCTTTCCCTTTATCGTTCTTTGTTTGTCTGCTCTCCATCTCTCCTCCCTGTGTTTATCTCCTCCCCCTTCACTCTGCCTCTTTCTCACAGCGTACAAGTGGGCTGTTAGGGCACACGGGGATGGGGGCAGCTCGTGCTCAACTTCATCAACATGGCGAGCCTTGTACGTGAGAGGCACGGTGAAAGGGGAGTCAAAAGAAGAATGAGAAAAATGAATGGTTTCACATGTTTGTCTTGTTTTTTTAATTTTTAATTTTTGCCGTTTGTTTCGCAAATTGCACTCTTTTGGTTCACTAGGAAAATTTTCATGACCGGCCGGTCACCCGGGCGTGACGCCCGGGGGGGTCTCACGCCCGGGTGACCCGGTCATGGCAAAAACATAATAATAATAAGAAAAAAAATATATTGGCGGTGTTTTTTTTTCCGCGCTCTCCGAGAGGAGCCCAAATCGGGGCTCTTTTCTTTTTTTTAGTGTTGGCTGTCAAGGGGGGGAAAGGGGAGTGTAAATGAATTTTTAAAGGGGCTAAAGGGGTTTACAGGGGGGTGCCTTAGTGTGATATGGTTATTGTTTTTGTTATCTTTAGTTCTGTGACGAATTCTGATGTGACCCTCAGCCAAAAGTTGTTTGTATGGCAATTCTACACAACATTTTTTAATTTTTTCAAATTTTCTGGATTTGATTTTTTTATAATTATTTTATTGTTTTTTGCGCTTTGGCTGCCTGGGGCCATGCCCCCGGGGTCATGCCCGGCCGGTCACCCGGTCGCCAATCCGGGCGTGACATCGGGACCCGGGCGCCTGGGATATCTCCCTAGTTGGTTCATATGCGAGGCATATGCCCCTATGAGCCCCATTCAGGCCCTGCCAAGTATCACGTCGGCCGCCCTAAGTGAAGGCAGGCACGACGAGGGCCTGAGGGCCCCTACGCAACTCCAGGAAATTCAGGCAGTTGCGCAGCGCCAGTTGGTTGAGAAAACCCAGGCCCTGGACCGCCTACTTAATGTATGGAAAGCAGGCCCTGGGCTGGGTACGGGTACTGGGCCAAACACAGGCCGTTGAGAGTTGGGCGCAAGCAACCACTACAGGCCAAGGCCTGAGTTGCGTGGACTGGGCCTTAGCCTACCGGGGCCTACTGGAAGCTTCTTGGGAAAGGCCCAGCGCAGCCTGTGACAAGCAAGCAGGCAGGCCACTTCCATATACCAAAGGGCCTACCTCCGCATTTGGCATTCGGGTGCTGGCTGCATGCTGCGCAAGCGCTGCTGCGCTATTTGCTGGCCAGCGCTCATGCGCTCACAGGCGAGCAGGGAAGGAGCAGGCAGCCATAGCTGAGCTGCGCTACTGTGAGCTGGGTGTGGCGCAGGGTGGTCCTTGGGTGCAAGTGGCATCTGTGTGTTGGGGGAGGTTGTGAGTGAGGCGAGAGGCATACCTGGTGATGGAAGTGTGCGACATTGGTCGCTGTATGCTTGTACTTCGGGAAAGCTGTTGACGTCATCATTCGGCATTGTAGTCTAGGCTAGATAGGATCTGCCATCTGTAGTCTGGGCGCCGAGCGCCAGATGGGATATCAACATTGGTTCTTCATTGATGATGATGGTGATGATGAGACGTTACCAGCATTGTCAATTATGAGCTCTTGCTGTCTTCTTATTTGGTGAAACTCGTGATGCAATTCTGCTGTTGGTTCGAGGTCACGACTATCTGGTCTTGTGTATATGATGCTGTTTGATTGCTGAAGTTCGCTATTGCTCATCTTCCTTGCAATTTGGTATCAGAGCTGTGGTACGATTGCACTCATCTGGCGCTTGTCTTCTGCCTTATGCGGTACATACATGCAGTCTGCTTGGCGAGTTTGGCCGTAAGTGGTGTGTAGTGAGGAGGGCGGAGACGAGTGATTGGCGACCCAGGAGGTGAGGGGATCGCCAGGAAGGCTACGGTGTGTAATGTGGGTGTTGGACAGTGTGATGAGAAGTATCTAATTAGCGATTGGTGCTGAGGTGGAACGGCGTGTAATGCTGGTTGTGCCGAAGCAATGACTGGTCATCACAATCAGCATCAGTTCATCTGGTGAGATTATCTCTGTGGTTGGGGGCAGCTATTTGAGGTACGTTGCTCTTAACCTTATCTACCCTCTTCGACACTGCTTACCGTGAGGTTGTGTGTTCCTTCTTGAGAGTCCTCTCATTGTGAGGTGTCGAGTGCGCTCAACCTTGAGAGTCGGCAATGTTCACGCGGAGCATCTGGGAGAAGATGGGCGGAGCTTTCTGAAGGGCCCTGGATGAAGCACTGGGTCAGGGTCACCATGCCAACCCGCCGGGAGTAGAGCACACATGCTTTGCTGCTTGTTCGGCTTGCTGCACTGTTAGATGGGTACTGAAGGGCAGGCCAGCCCTAAGAGGGAGACGAGACCGGGCTCCTTTAAATAAGCATCGGAAGGGGAACCATTGGCTGTGATCGTCGTCCTGCTGCGACATAAAATAATTCCTGATGACACTTGGGGCCGGTCGTTAAATTGCCTCTGGATCAGCCAATGGTTGTAAGGCTCGCTGCACGCGAGGATAATCAAGTGCAGGGCTGGCCAGCTCAGCAGATACTCGGGGCACAGGGGTGGACTGGACACACCTTTTAGACACGCTACGCTCTCCAGATTGCTCAGGGACGCTGACTTCAAGTGACATTCAGGGGAACTAAGGGAGGGGTAGATTTCAGGTGATAAGTTCGAGAAAAAAATTCCATACTGTCCTATCCACACAAATGATTCTATTTTTATGTTTTGATTAGTTAGATGTACAACCATTTGACATCTTGCAGACAGCATAGTAGAATTGTATTTGTTCGTTGTGCATTCTGTTTGCAAACTAATCAGGCTAAACATAGTTTCGTTTGTAGGAATCTGACTTACCTGTTGACCCCAAATGTATCTACTCCAAAATAGCCACCAATAAATTGGTTTGTGCACTACACTGCGGTAGGCACCCAGAGTGCATTAGTGCAGATTGTGTACAGTGCTGTAGCGTATGAGCGACGAGGAAGACACTAGAAAGGACGACCGGATCCTGCGATCAGCAAGGTGCCCACTAGCCCATTTGGCGTTAGGTCTAGAGGGTGACAGGTACGTGTTCCGCCAGCGTAGAGAGAGGTTGCAGCAGCGAGGAGGGCTAGAGCAGCAGAGGCTAGTAGGGGGCTTGTGAGTGAAGCCATAGCTTCGGAAGCCATGGCCACCTCTGCGCAGCAGACTACTCAGGCTGGTAGTTCAGGATCTGTCGGGTCAACGGTCGATCAGACCCAGAGTCAGTCCACTGGCGAAATGGCAAGCCAAAAGTAGTGTTGACTTCCGACGAGATCGCCATACAACAAGCATCATTGCAGGAGGCACAACTATAAAAGGCATTAGGAGAGATAAAGGTGGAGAAAGAAAGGATGATTAGAAGAAGAACCAGGATGCAGCGGAGACAAGCGTACGTTAGTGAGTTAGAGGAGATGGACGTAATGCACGGGACTGATGATGTGAGGATTATACGGTCCGTCCTGCTAAATGTAGTTGAAATGCAGGACCATCAGACAACCATCCTTCAGGACATTCAGCAAAGTCTGACCCTGGTGGCTGGGCGAGCGCAGGCAACATCACCGATGTCTGGCCCTGGTGCCTGGCCCGTTGTACAGCCTCCTCCTTTTGTCCCACCGGTGACTGGGGTATCCCCATATGTAGCCCCATCATCGCTCGCGATCGTTTCCCTGGGCATGCCGCTATCAGGAGGGATATCAGCAGGGTCTAGTTTGCAGGTTCCTGCATAGACATTGTTCACCCAATCTCCGTTGCAGGTTGCCGTTACCACGCAGCCTGCTGTCTCGCAGTCTGTACAGCCGCAGGGTACACAGCCCCAACAGCTAGCACAGCAGCCTGTGACTGGGTCCACAGCCTGGAGTGATGCAGGGACCAGGACAAACACAGTGGGTAGCGAAGACGGCCATCGCCGCTCCTAAACCCTTCACAAGGGATAAGAGGGGCGAAGACCTCGACACTTGGTTGAGGGCATTGCCGGTCTATGTCAAGTGTAAACTCACCTTGCTGCACGAGGAAGTGCTTGTGGCTGCATCCTATCTAGAGGGTAGTGCAGCACGATGGTTGAGCGGTTTAGTGCAACTACAGGGGTACGGACATGACTTACGCGTTTGGGCAGCCCACCAAAAACTGGAGGACTTCTCAAGATGGTAGAAGAAAGGTGGCATGATCCTCAGGAGGCTCAAAAGGCCATTGACGCGATCTTGACACTGCACACGAGGCAGTTTAAGTCAATAAGGGAGGCCACCGACGTTGTAGAGCGTCTGATTTGTGTCCCTGGGGTGCGTTATGACCCCCAGGTTTTACTCTCTTCCTACGTGAGATGCTTTCCTATGCCTCTCAGAAATCAGTTGGCAGGTGAGGCCAACATCAATGTTCACAACTTCCCCTCGTTCAGCAAGAAGGCCCTAGACCTTGAGGCGAAGATAGGGCATGGACATAATCCCACAACGGATGGTAGGAAGAAGACACTGCCTCCCAACCTGAAGGCGAAGGGCTGCATTATGTTTGTTGATAACGATGGTTCAACCATCGAATTAGAAATAACTTCCAGGAAGGAGTAGGTTCAGAGGTTGGCAACGTAGAAGCTTCAGAGGATGGAGTAGTCGTTGTCGTAGCTCAGAAAGGTAAGGCGACCGGTAGACGCCGTGGAGGTTCTTGGTCTAGGAGTCGAGTTGACCCCAATGCTCCTCCATGGGAGAAAGCGGGTCTCACTGAGGACGTGTGGAGAGATCGGTATTCACGGCAGGCCTGTATTCGTTGTGGCCAATATGGTCATAATCAATTCAAGTGCCGCAACAAGAAGGTGACCGATAAGATCCCGCCTATGATGGGGCAGGTTTTGGGATCCTCTTATTCCGTTGGTAGCAATGTAGCTAGTACTTCTGGCACTGCTCCGGGAAACACGTCGGGCCAGTAGGAATAGTAGCTGTTCCTGCTAGGGTCGAGGTGGTGGAGACACCCTCACCATCTCGAGAGATGGCCCAAGCTACTGACTCCAGCGTCGTCCCGCAAACACATTCAGACCCATCGAGCCTCTATTCGATGAATGTTTGAGTGATTAGAGGAGCTAGAGGAGTGGTCTAGACCAGACTTGCTAGCTTCTTGGACGACCCTAGTCAAAGCCCCGAAGGGTGAAATGTTCGTCAGCGAGGTGGTCATTGGCGGCCGCAAGGCCGGGGCCTATTATGACACTTGCTCGACAAGGAACTTCATCAGCGTGCGTTGAGAGGCTGCACTTACAGGAGCAAGTGCAGCGCCTAAGTCGACCTGTGGAGTCGACCTGTGCCAACAAATAGCGCATGGTAGTCAATGACTACCTCCAGGATGTTGAGTGTTCTTTCCCGTACGCAGGAGGGGAACTTAGACACCGCGTCTCGTTCCTAGTGAGTGACGAACTTCCCATGGACATGTTGTTGGGTATGTACTACCTCTCTGTGGCACAGCCCCAGTTTGATTGGGACCGAGAAGTGGTCAAACACACTTTGCCAGGTGGAGGGACCTCGAGATTGCATAAGTTCCAAGCTAGTAGTCTGATTGGGTCCCACGGGTGCATGTGTGTGGCCGCGTTCTACAATTATTATAAGCAAAATCAGGAGGAGGGTATGTATCTAGTTTATGTCTCTGTTGCAGGCGAGCGGGTGAAAATGCCACCTGAGATAGAGGGCGTAGTTGCCAAGTACCCTGATCTATTTGAAGAGCCGACAGGGGTTGTAGAGAGGGAGGTCGTCCACGCGATAGAGATTATCCCAGGGTCTAGGATTTATCGGATGTCTCCAAGCGAGCTCGATGAGGTTTGCCGACAACTCAAGGAACGCGTAGAGAAGGGTTGGATCCGGCTGAGTGTCTCTCCTTATGGGTCTCCAGTACTATTCGTACGTGAGAAGGAGGGGACACTTAGGATATGCATTGACTATAGCGGCCTCAATGCCATCACTGTTAAGAACAAAGAGCCCCTACTGCGCATTGACGATTTGCTAGATAGGGTGTCAGTACTTAAGTAAGATAGATCTGAAGTCCGGGTACCATCAGATTGCAATCCGGCCCGAGGATCAACACAAAACCGCCTTTCAGACCAGGTACGGTCTGTACGAGTTTGTGGTGATGCCTTTCGGTTTTTGCAATGCTCCTGGCACCTTTCAGCACACTATGAATCGGATCTTTCATGACTACTTGGATAAGTTTGTCATCGTGTACCTAGATGACATACTTATTCTTAGTAAGACTGTCGAGGAGCATGTTGCGCACTTGGACAAAGTCCTCAGTCTTTGCAATGCTCCTGGCACCTTTCAGCAAGTTATGAATCAGATATTCCATGACTGCTTGGATAAGTTTGTCATCGTGTACCTCGATGACATACTTATTTTTAGTAAGACTGTCGAGGAGCACGTTGCGCACTTGGACAAAGTCTTGAGTCTTCTGCAACAACACAAGTTCAAGATCAACGGTGAGAAATGCAAGTTTGGCAGCACTCGTGTCTTGTACTTGGGTCATGAGATTTCCGCGGAGGGATTGAAGCCCGATGACGCGAAGGTGGCCAACATTCGTGACTGGCCGCGTCCTCAGTTTGTGATTGAGATGAGATCTTTCTTAGGGATGAACGGCTACTATCGCAATTTCGTGAAGAACTATAGCATAGTTGCCGCCCCTTTGATTGATCTGACGCGCCTTGACACCCCATGGGAGTGGACTGAGAGATGCGAGGCTGCCTTCAGACATCTGAAGCATGCGTTGATGCATTACGAAGTCTTGAAACTTCTTGATCCTGATAAGCCATTTATAGTAACTACGGATGCTAGCCAATATGGCATAGGCGTTGTACTTGCACAACAGGAGGGGAAGAAGTTGAGGCCAGTTGAGTACATGTCCAAGAAAATGCCGTCTCAGAAGTTGGCTAAGTCCACCTATGAGAAGGCTCTGACCCATTGGAGGAACTACCTCCTTGGGAGGTTCTTCATTCTCAGGACTCAGTCGGTACTCTCTGATGCTCTCAAGCGTTGGATCGAAGTCATTGAGCAGTATGACTTCGAGCCCCAGTACATCAAGGGCGAGTATAACAAGGTTGCTGATGCCTTGTTGCGTAGACCTGATTTCTCAGGTGCGCTGATGACTGAGTTCAATCTTGCGGACAATGTTACTCAGTCTTTGGTGGAAGCCTATCGCGAGGATCCGTTCATGTCTGAGATCATCCGTAGACTCGAGGCGAAGGACAAAGTGACTTCTGCTGAGTTTGAGTTGGTCAACGGCTTGCTGTTCCTTGAGAAGGCTGGGAATAAACGTTTGTGTGTTCCTAATAGGGAGTCTTTGCGTAGTTTATTTTTAGGTGAATGTCATGATGCCACATGACATTTTGGATTCAAAAAGACTGCGGCTAATCTGCTGCAGCGGTTCTGGTGGCCCACATTGATGAGAGATGCTAAGTTGTACGTGGAGACTTGTCAGGTCTGTTAGAGGGACAAGCCACGTACTCAGGCTCCTCTTGGGCTCCTGAAGCCCCTTCCGATTCCGGAAAGGCGTGGTGAGAGCCTGTCCATGGACTTCATGGATACGCTGGTCACCGGCAAGAGTGGAATGTGGTACATCTATGTCATTGGGGATAGGTTTAGTAAGTTTGCTAGATTAGTTGCAATGCCAGGAACAGCTAAAACGGAGTACGTGATTAAGATGTTCAAAGAGAATTGGGTTAGAGACTTTGGATTACCTAAGTCCATTGTTAGTGGCAGGGATGTCCGATTCACAAGTGAGTTGTGGAAAGCAGCAGCTGCAGAGCAAGGCACGCAACTGCAGATGACATCAGGCAATCATCCTGAGGCAAACGGGCAAGCTGAACAAATGAACTGCGCTGTACAACACCTGCTAAGGCATTACATCAAGCCAAATAAGGTAGATTGGAATGAGAAACTTGCTCTCATCGCAAGTTTGTACAACAATGCTGTGCACAGTGCAACTGGAGTCAGTCCTAATAGCTTGCTGCTGACCTTCAGACCCCGACTGCCTTTAGACTTCCTACTACCTGACAATCAGCCGAATGCTGCACCTGGGACGTTAGAGTTTGCTTGTCGGTAAGAGTTTGCTTGTCGGTATGAGCAGCTAATGCAGCAGGCTGTTGAACAGATGCACAGGGCACAGGCGGCGATGATAGAGTCTGAAAACAAACACCGCCGTCCATCCACATTTCAGGTGGGAGAGAGTCTGGGTCAAGTCCTCATTCTCCCGCAAGCTCATGCCACAGTACTTTGGACCATGGGAGGTAGTAGATGTTGTGGGGAATGAACCAGATGGCCCGTCTTATGTCATTCGCATCCCTGGTCACTTACGCACTTACCCTGTCTTTCACGCCTCCAAGCCAAACAGATCAGTTTCCTTCTCGATGCTCAATGCTGCCCCCAACCATGGATGGAGAGGAGGATATAGACGACATCGTGGATCACAGGGAGCTGCCCGTTCCAAGACGGACAGGCAGGGGACGTCCTCCGAAACCGAAGCTGCAGTACCGAGTTCGCTGCAGTACCGAGTTCGGTTCCGACATCATCTGGATCCAAAGGAGGACCGCTGGTTCACTAGGGAGGAACTCATGCAGACCGCCCTCAGATCGTAGCTCAATATGTGAAGTCCCTGCAGACGGGAAAGTGCCAGATCATTGAAGACTGAACTTCTCGGAGGACTAAAAAAGTTATGGAGGAGGGAATGCGAGGCATATGCCCCTATGAGCCCCATTCAGGCCCTGCCAAGTCGGCCGCCCTAAATGAAGGCAGGCACGACGAGGGCCTGAGGGCCCCTATTTTGGTCACCACGCAACTCCAGGAAATTCAGGCAGTTGCGCAGCGCCAGTTGGTTGAGAAAACCCAGGCTCTGGGCCGCCTACGTGAATGTATGGAAAGCAGGCCCTGGGCTGGGTACGGGTACTGGGCCAAACACAGGCCGTTGACATTTGGGCGCAAGCAACCACTACAGGCCCAAGGCCTGAGTTGCGCGGACTGGGCCTCAGCCTACTGGGGCCTACCGGAAGCTTCTTTGGAAAGGCCCAGCGCAGCCTGGGACAAGCAAGCAGGCAGGCCTCTTCCATATAGCAAAGGGCCTACCTCCGCATTTGGCATTCGGGTGCTGGCTGCATGCTGCGCAAGCGCTGCTGCACTATTTGCTGGCCAGCGCTCACGGGCGAGCAGGGAAGGAGCAGGCAGCCATAGCCGAGCTGCGCTGCTGTAAGCTGGGTGTGGCGCAGGGTGGTCCTTGGGTGCAAGTGGCATCTGTGTGTTGGGGAACGAGGTTGTGAGTGAGGCGAGAGACATACCTGGTGCTGGAAGCGTGCGACATTGGTCGCTGTATGCTCGTACTTCGGGAAAGCTGTTGACGGCATTGTAGTCTAGGCTAGATAGGATCTGCCATCTGTAGTCTGGGCGCCGAGCGCCAGATAGGATATCAACATTGGTTCTTCATTGATGATGATGATGAGACTTTACCAGCATTGTCAATTATGAGCTCTTGCTGTCTTCTTATTTGGTGAAACTCGTGATGCAATTCTGCGGTTGGTTCGAGGTCACGGCTATCTGGTCTTGTGCATATGATGCTGTTTGATTGCTGAAGTTCGCTATTGCTCATCTTCATTGCACATAATTATGTGACAATATATATGTATATACAGTGTTGGACCAGCCGACGGTCGGCGGCTCTTAGACTGGTCGGCTGCCGACCTGCCGACCGATCGGCTGGTTGGCACCTACGGGTCGGGGGTCATAGGCACCCTGGGGTCCAGAACCCCTAATAACCCCACCCACACCCCCATAGCGGCCCCTAATACCTGCAGACACCAACCTAACAGTCCCGAACCGCCCCCAACACCCTTGTTAAACCCCCCAATATCCACTATATCACCCCTATACTCCAACCCATACCTGCAGTGTATCGCGTGCGCGCGAGCTCCGCATGTGTGGCGCATAACGCACGTGTAAGCATGCACGCGCACGTGATGTGACGCACCCCAATAAATAGGGTATAAAAAAAAATCTGGAGAAGGCTGGATGAGGTAGCCAATGGTGCACCTCCCCACAGAAAAAACAATTGGGCCCATGCATTCCTTGTTGAATAGTCTTATTCCTGGAGGACCCCACCAGTGCATTTGCAAGGGTTCCAACATCTCAAGAGATGTTCAGCGAATTTCGTGTGAAAGAGGAGGAGGCCAGCAATGTATGTTCTGGATCCGAAGTCAGGTCTGCTTTCCAGCAGTTATGGGTTACCAGTTACAACTACTTACTGTCGTAGCTCTCTCTTTCTTTTGTTTCGTTTTCCTACGAGCAGTGGCCCTAAGGGCCTTGCTCCACTCGTCACTACTTGCACAAAAGCAGTGCTGGGCCGGCAACCGGCCGGTTGAGCTACCCCGGTCCAACCGGAGCTGGACCAGCCCAGGGGGGGTGAACCAGGAAACTGGTTTTGAAAAAAAAATGCCCAATTTTTTTTTTTTGTTTTTCGGTATATTCCGACTGCGCTCTTCAAGAGCTGTCGGAATCCACAATAAAATTTTCAAGGTGCAATATTTTTCAGGGGGCTTCCAGAGGGGGGCAGGGGGTTATTATTGACATAGTGAGGCAACTATGGCTTCCACGGGGAGGGGTCAAGTAAGCAAGTTCACTTATCCGACCTCCCCGTGGCTGGAGCACTTCCTGGAGTGTGTCATTTGATACCCCACGAGCTGAACCAGATATGATGAGAGGAGGTCCTTGCCAGAAGTATAGCTCTTCCAGAGTATAACTCAACAGCAGAAGAGTTATTGTTCCAGCCTTCAGCTCGTGGAGGCAGAGCATTTTCTGTTTGTTGGTTTCTACATAAGGTGAGTTATCAGTCCGCAAGTATCTTGCCTGGCAGTCTGTCCAGATACATGTAGTGGAGCGAGGTCCATTGGAGATAGATAGAGAGAAGAATATAGCTTAGGTCCATTCTTGGCCTTGCACCTCGGACGGCTCTGACATCACGATTCCAAAATCCGAACCCATAACTTTTTCCACAGATGGCAGGGATGTTGCAGAAGGATATAATCTCAGCAGAGCCTCGTCACAAGCATAGTGTTCCCCTCGTGGCTGAGGGTGAAAGAGCATCAGATATTGCCAATGTTAACTGGTCTGTTGGACCACAATATGACAAATTGGAGAAAAGGCCTACCCGACCCACATCTTAAGAAAAATGTGTGGCGGTTCTCGGCTGCTGATCTGCAAAGCTCAGCGGCGGATATCCTCTGCCGTTTTTCTTGAGAAATGGGGTCCTGGCTGATCTTTGCCGCTGATCTGCAACGATCGGCGGCCAAGATAGTCCACTTTTTGGACTTGAAAAATCCGGGCCTACAGGACCCGGTTTCGAAATTGCGGGGCAGGGCCGACCAAGAGGCCTCGGGAACACATGCGCTGGCAAAAAAAAAAATTCAGGCCCCAGCGAAAATGCGCTGGGGGCAACCGGGAGGGAACCGGCACGGGCCACTGGCTGGTCCAACCGGGAGGACCGCAGATGGGGTAGGGGTCCTCGGTCCTACACAAAAGACAAAACATACGGCGGCGTATAGTTCCATGTTCTAGCAGAAGATTCATTCCTCTCTTTCTTTTGTTTCCTTTTCCTACGAGCAGTGGCCCTAAGGGCCTTGCTCCACTCCTCGCAACGTGCACCAAAGACGAAACATATGGCGGCGTACAGTAGCAGAAGATTCATTCTAGTTTTGTACATTTGGTGAGTAGTGGAGGGAAACCCTGAAAACTACGTGGTGAGTTGGCCTGCTACTGCCCAGAAACTCACGTCCTCAGTGGTCCTATAAATGCTGAAACACGGACCTTAATGTGAATCTACAGCATATATACTTTGCGTGGCCTGACTTTAGAATGGCTACGAGTACTACCTCGTTCGTGGTAAGGTGGCCCTTATGTGGAGGGGCCTCTCGATAACCCGCAGGGGTTTTGAAATAAATGCTAAAGAGCTATTTATTTACATTCTCTCTCTCTCTCTCTCTCTCTCTCTCTCTCTCTCTCTCTCTCTCTCGTGTTCTCACACATAACAGCCATTTTTTTTTAATTTTTTTTTCCTGCATCGGTGACCAGCTCACTTGCGCCGTAGGTATGCTCCAACCCCAA